TTGAGCCTTGCAATAGTCACCATTTCGGTCATCCTCCTTCTCCTGATCTTCATCATCACAAACGTCACTAACATCAGCAATATCAGGACATCCTCATCTTCATTAATCTCTCTAGCCTTCTCTGATTGTTCCATACACTAGAACGGCTTCAAGTGGCTGTCCAGCGCATATCAGACCACCTGGATGGGAGGTAATGAAAGCAGGGTATCTTCCCTCATTTCGGGCATTGTTCAAGCGATCGGGAGAAAGAGGGGCCATAATTTCTTTCAAGCCTGTAATTCGCCTGATTGTATTGTCAAAGTTGGCTTGAGCAATAAGTTGCTTGAGCACTTTTAAGTCTGAATTAGTGTGTGTCTGTATATATACCTATGCATGTTTGTATGTATGCATGTATGTGCGTGTATGCATACATGAGTTTTTGTATACAGCTATTTTGGATTTTCCCACTTATGTATGTATATGAGTGTGTGTGCAAGGGCGAGCGCTAGTGTGTGCGTAGGCAATAAAGACCATCAGCCTCAAGATGATGAACTGGCAATGAAGCTTCAACTTTTTGACAGGCAGTACTCGAGTGGTACACATTCCATCTGGAACTGTCACCTCGTCAATCAGCTCCTTTCATATTTATATCAAGTTTAGATTTATGACGTGAAGGCTCCATCCTGAAAGCGCTGCAAAAATCGGAACGGATAGAGATGACTGCGACGAAATGGAAGGGAGATGCCTGATGCTGATGAGCTTCGGGCAGATGGCTGAAAGCATTGGGACCGAAATGCACTTACCGAAACTGCCAGCCCACCGCATTCTTAAAATATCTGAGTATGGTAATGTGATGCTATGCCGGTCTGTAAATATTATACTTCGGATGGAAACGGCCCGTTCTGCTGAACTTTCAAGTCGACTATTCAAAGCAGCTATTCTTTCTGGAAATGGACGCATTTCATAGAAATTTACCCCAATCTATCTTCTCATATGGGCTATAATATTAGTGAATTGTAGAAGATATTTTTTTAGTTTTGTGAGCAAAGGCTTATATCAATTCAGATGCTATGTTTTCTGTATTCTAAAAATCATTTTTTTCAGTCAACAAGCAGACCCTTCAATGTTAAATTAGGTTAAATGAAGCATTGAGAAAGCTGTGCCAGGATGTAATGGCCAATGCATCTACAAATGCATAATAGAGGTGATATGGTAGAGGTTCTTTAAAGTCTATATCTACCCTGCGACCCTCTGGCACCCGTGGCTGTCTGGCCGGTCGTCAACGTGCCTCTACAGTGCGGACAATAACGTTTCGACTCCTGCTGGGTGTGCTAACCTGGCATAGGTCGAATGGTAAAACTTCTTGGCAAGCAAAGCTCGATAGCATTCAATAGCCCTGTGAGGCCTATTTATGTCACTTAGAGAAAATCCCACTATCATTTTGTAAATAGTTTAATGCAACCAAGGCCTACATGCTCCATCAAACTGTCCTTACAATTGCCCAGCCGGAGTGCATGAGCCCTCTTTTACTATAATTACTCCCGTTGGTCATAGCTTCGACAGGACTATCTTCCTTGATCATAGGCCGAATGCTTTTGGAATTGCAATTCCACATAGCATGGCAACAGATCAGTTCCTGGAATACTGTCTGTGGTCAGCCAAATGTCTCTGTTACCTTATATCTTCAGAGAGCCCTGCTGCCAATTCAGCTCTGCCTCCCGCGACTCAGCCAGCTGCGTCCACAACTCATGAAATCGCTTCACTTCGACATAATTGCCTTATCAGCTCCTCCGTTGGGTCTCTGTTTGCATAGCCCACGAGCTGGCACATGCTGATTCAGATTTTTCGTGCCCCCAGTCGTCTCTGGCTCGGACGAAATTGAAATTTTCGCTCGGACATACCCTTTCAACGGTGATTAAGCAGAGCTTGGAAGTCCTGCTGGGCGAGAATTAGTACACTTAATTTGTTTATGTGACTTGTGGTCGCATGGGCCAATAAGTAGACTTCAAACTAGAAAGATGGCATGTGTATGGGCGTCCCCAAAGATTCGGCAGTTTCGCTTTCATCGCTTCCAGTTGGAACTCCGCACTCTGCTGTGCCAGCCCGACTGAATAAGATCTGTGCTCTCAGAATGCAGCAAGATGCAAATATGCTTATCAAGAACCATTTTAGGGATTTCGAGATCCACACATACTGGACAAGTGTCGCGCCTACGTTTTCACTTTTACTTCAAGTTAACTGTAGCCCTGTCTCGATTTTCGGCCGTTTGTGCGTATGCTTGTCTATGCTTTGGGGACTATTTCGGTTTTGCTCACAAGGTGGTCCCAAGTACACTTACGTTTGTATGTATGCCTTTATGCGTGCGTTTGTATTTATGTACGTGAATGTGTGTGCAAGGGGTGGGGGGCTGGTGCGACGGCGGGGGGTAGATACTAAGAGATAGGGAGTTGGGTTTGTGATCATATTTGGGAGAGAGAACACAGAAAGACCAGTCTGTGTTTCA